ACAGTGGGTGGGGAGTGAGGGCGGAGGGTGGGGTAGGAACCGGGTGGAGGGGAGCTATGGGGGGGAAAAAGAGGAACAACTGTAATAATCTGAAGAATAAAGATTTAATTAAAAAATAAATAAATAAAAATAAAAAGCTAAGCACTGCAAATAATAATAATAATAATAAATAAAAGAAAGGAACAGCTATTAAATAGTGTCAAGGCAATAACTTCTGAGCAGCACAAACAGCTAAAGGAGGAAAGGAAGGGACCAGGAACAAAGCTTCCTGCAGGCGTATACTTACCCACAGGGCAAAGTCAATGCTGAGGAGTGACTTAATAATGAAAGCTCCAGAGGAGTCAAATAAAAAAATAGTAGAGACTGTGCTGATCCTTTATTTTTACTTTTTTATTAAGTATTTTATTTTATTTTTATTACTTTTATTTTTATTAATCCTCACCTGAGGATATTTTTGCATTGATTTTTAGAAAGAATGGAATGGAGGGGGAGAGACCGAGAGAAACATCAATGTGAGAGAGACACATTGATTGGTTGCCTCCCACAGTTGCCTCCCACACACACACACACACGCCCTGATCAGGGCTGGGGTTCTAGCCTGCAACTGAGGTACATGCCCTTGATCGAAACCGAATCCAAGACCCTTCAGTCCCCAGGCTGATGCTCTATCCACCAAGCCAAACAGGCCAGGGCTGTGCAGACCCTTTAAAGGAAACTGGATAAAACCTACCTGTTTTGTTTTTCTCTTATTCTTTTAAATATATATATACAATGATTCACTAATCTGCAAAATTCCCCTTTAGGGACGATGCTAACCCACTGTATTATTCTAGTTTGAGCACACCTGAAGCCAAAGGAAGCAGAAAGCAATACATTTCTAAGGAAATTTTCCAAAACGGTTTGAAAATAAAATACCAAAAGTGTAAAAGTCCCCCGGCTAGCGTAGCTCAGTGGTTGAGCGTCAACCTATGAACCAGGAGGTCACGGTTCGATTCCCAGTCTGGGCACATGCCCAGGTTGCCGGTTCCATCCCCAGTGTGGGGTGTGCAGGAGGCAGCCGATAAATTATTCTCTCTCATCATTGGTGTTTCTCTCTCTCTCTCTCCTTTCCTCTCTGAAATCAATAAAAAAATATATATTTTTTTAAAAGTGTAAAACTCTAAAATCCTTGAGATCTAAGGATATATGCAAGTTAGAATTCTAAAAGAATGTTCATTTCACTGCCACTAAAGATCAAAAACAGAGACATCATTCCACAAGGTTTGTTATATAGAAATTTTGAGATAGTGGAGAGATTTTCTACAAAGGAAAATATATAGAGGCAACATAGACCATTCCTTCCTCTCATGGAATTAAAGCTTAGTTTGAATCACTTGGGTCACTTAGGCACACTCAAGCCTTGAACTTGGTCTAAAGAGGTGTGAGCACCTAACAGAAGCAAACATTCAGTCTTCTCTGGAAGACAGCATCTTTATCCTTGCCCTCAAACTATTCTATGAATACTTTCTTTTAAAATATGTTTTTATTGATTTTAGAGAGAGAAGACGGGAGAGGGAGAGAGACAGAAACATTGATGAGAGAGAAACATTGATGGACTGCCTCCTTCATGCCCCCCACTGGGGATCGAGCTTGAAACCTGGGCTGTGCCCCGACCAGAAATTAAACCTGAGACCTTTGGTACATGGGATGATGCCCAACGAACTAAGCAACACTGACCAGGGTCTATAAGAACTTCTTTTCTTTTTAATCCTCACCCAAGGATATTTTTCCATTGATTTTTATAGAGAGTGGAAGAGAGAGGAAAAGACAGAAAGAAATATTGATGTGAGTGAGAGAAGCACATTGGTTGCCTCCTGCACATGCCACAACCAGTGCCCAGACTGGGGAGAAGCCTGCAACCAAGGTACATGCCCTTGACCGGAATCGAAACAGGCACTCTTAGGTCTGCAGGCCAATGCTCTATCCACTGAGCCAAACCGGCTAGAGCGATGAATACTTTTAATAATAATGAGTACACAAAGATAACCAAGCACACAGAGAAATTAGGTTTCATGGGTAATGACTAGTAGAAATAAACAGAAATAGGTCATTAAGGATTTCAGAAACTGAAGTTAAATACAGACTGCAGAATAACTACACGTACTATACTTTAGCATAAAACACACATTTGAAAATAAATGCAAAGAAAGCTATTGGAAAATTACATACCAGATTTTTAAAATAATTAAGTAGAATTTATGGAAATAAAATTGTATTAAGATTTAAAATCAAGGGAACAGCAAATCAGATTTAATTGAAAAGAGAATTAGAAATGGGTAGGTCAGAAAAAAATTATCATAATGCAGCACAGAGACAAAAAGATATAAGGTACAGAAGAGATAATAAAAGACATAAAGGTTAAAATGACAAGGGTTAACATACATTTAACCACAGTACCAGAAGGAGAAGAGAGAAAGCATGAAACAAATAGAATATCTGAAAAGATAACAGCTGGGAATGTTCCAGGACTGATAAAAATACCAAACACAGTTTCAGCAAGTCCAGTGAAACCCAAGCCAGATAAATAGAAAAAAAATCATACTTAGACACCTTGCAGTTAACTATAGAAAATCAAGACAAAAATAAAATCTTACAAATAGCAGTGGGAAGTGGTAATGGTGGAGGTGGTGAGATAAAATGCAATAGAATTACTTTAAAAGGGCTCTTACCATTTAAATTAATGAACTCCAGTATTTGTGTAATTCTCTGCTTTATTAAAAAAAAAAAATCCCAGGCAGCTTGCCAAGATTCATATAATGTAATCCAATAAAATAAATTTAAAATGAGATAAGCAAAGAAGAATAGAAGAGGAAAGTAAGCAGGATGCAGTACTAAGATTCAGTCCCCAAATGCATGCTATAAATTCCTATCTGCTTTCTAGAGGGACACCACAAATTTGGCTTTAAGCATTTTAGCACCCATACAAAGAGGGAAACAGTCAATTACAGGATTTTCAGTAAAAAACAACAAGGCCCTCAGGGAAAACAACTATTTCTAAAAGAAGGATAATTAGAATGATGATTAACAGCATTTGCCACATCCTCTTACAATAAAGAGAGACACATTTTACAAGACCAAATGCAACTTCATAGGGAAAACCAAGGAATACCAATATGGAGGCTCAATCTAGGAGGAAGATCTTAGGGGAATGGAAGGTCTGCATATGCTTCAGAAAAGCTTTCATACATAAGCACGTTCTCAGGTAAGCTTCTGAAAGGAGTGGCTTTAAGAGTCTTTTCCTGACTAGTACTGAGGTGTAGGTGCTCTGTATGAGTAATTAGGTGCAGAGCATATACTAAACTAGCCACTAAGCAAGGGGCAGGGTAAAAGGCTCTTATGAAAACTGAGGAGTCAGACATCATTCCATCTGGACTTGTAAGAGTGAGATCCACCAAGTTCCTTAACCAGCCTCATTACTCTACAAAGCAGGTGAAATGGCTCTACATTCTCCAAGTGGCATTAATTGAAAAGAAACAAGATTTACCGGGCCCGTGTGGCTCACTGGCATATGCCCTGACCGGGAATTGAACCATGACTTATGAACCAGGAGATGGCGGTTCGATTCTTGGTCAGGGCATATGCCAGGGTTGTAGGCCGAATCCCCAGTGGGGGCAGTGCAGGAGGAAGCCATCACTGATGTTTCTATCTCTCTCTCCCTCTCTCTTCCCCTCTGAAAGTAACAAAAATGTTTTTTTTAAAAAGGAAACAAGATTTATCTGACAGTCATAGCAAAAGAAAAAAAAATTGGCACAATTGATTAGGTTGGCAAAAATCAGTAAAGATGCCTACAAAGTTCTGAATGATGAAGAACAGAAATACTACAACAAAAATTGGGCAGACACATTTTGAAGGAAATAGAATGGCTCAGTTTTAGACAAAATCTTTGGGCTTGAATATCTGAATGGAAATGTACAGAAGACATTTTCTAGAAGTTTCTAGAAATGTATCACTAAAGGGGTTAAGGATAGAGTTAAAAATTTAGAAATCTGCCCTAGCCGGTTTGGCTCACTGGACAGAGCGTCGGCCTGGGGACTGAAGAGTCCCGGGTTCGATTCCAGTCAAGGGCATGTACCTTGGTTGCAGGCACATCCCCAGTAGGGAGTGTGCAGGAGGCAGCTGATTGATGCTTCTCTCTCATCGATGTTTCTAACTCTCTATCCCTCTCCCTTCCTCTCTGTAAAAAAATCAATAAAATATATTTTTTTAAAAAAATTTAGAAATCTGTACACAGAAATAAAATTGAAGTCGCTGAGTAGTTCTAATTCCCAAGCCACCAAAATCTCTTCTCCTCAAACCACTGCCCCAATGCAAACAAAAGAACTGGATCCCACAAGATATGCCACAGCCACGATACAAAAAGCAGGCTGTATTTCAAAGTGAGCCAGTGCACAGGGAGAACATTCAATACAGCTACATAGAGTCTGACTCAGAAAGATAAATGTACAGGTATATATGCCATCACTAGAAATTAGAACAGAATTGCACTATATGGCTCATTACAGAGAATGCCACAATTGCTCTATTCTCCATTTTATTTTATTTATTTATTTATTTATTTTTGTTAACCCTCACCCCAGGATTTTTCTTTCATTGATTTTTAAAGAGAGTGGAAGGGAGGGGGAGAGAGAGAGAAACATCAATATCACACTGATTGGTTGCCTCCCACATGTGCCCCAACCAGGGCCAGGGATCGAGCCTGCAACCAGTATGTGCCCTTGACCAAAATCAAACCCGGGACCCTTTGGTCCGCGGGCCAATGCTCTATCCACTGAACAAAACCAACTCGGGCTCCATTTTATATTTAAGAACACAAAGGTACATTCTGTTTGAAAGATCAAATTTCTTAAAAATTATTAATTTGGGTACATGGGGATTTATTAGATATGTCTGAAATTTTCCATGGTAAGAGTTTTTTAAACTTATAAAAAATTTCCTAAGACTTATCAGGAGTGAAGACATACCTTTCTGTCTTTGAGCAGCTAACATCAACCTTCCTGTGATACAAGAGGCAGGAAGGAAGGACATGGTCATTTCTTTCTCATAAGAAAGACAAGATTAAAGATACACAAGAGGTTATTAACTTCTAGAAAGAAGACACAAGAGTGTAAGAGATGCAATCTTCAGATACACCGTTGGGTAGGTGTTAAAGACAGGAATTATAGTAGCTTTAAAATAAACTAATAAAAAAGTAGAAAAATAAACTTACTCTTTTCAATGAGTTGGTCCTGAACTCCTGCCAATGCACTTACTGCCTAAAAGAAAAAAACACTAGTTACAAGAAAAATTATCACAGACTTCAGAAGAGCACTCACAGACAGAAGGGAAAAAGAAAACTCACAAAAATGCAACTGAGGTTTTCCTAAATAATGGGCCACATAAAGATCCCCCCACCTCACTTACAGCTGCTGAAGTAACTGAAGATTTACTGAAGAGCCGCTCAGCTTCCTTAAACTTCCGGTTCCTTCGATCATTTTTGCTATTGGAGTTTCTAAAACACACACAAGGATTCATTATGAGCACCAAGCTTTGTCTATGGCTCAAGCTGAGGATGTCCCAGGGAAAATATAATGAACTTCTTTGTTTTTATGTTTATTTTATTTTTTATTTTTGTTAATCGTCACCCGAGGATATTTTCCCATTGATTTGTTTTTCTTTTTAGAGAGTGGAAGGGAGGGAGAGAGACAAAGAGAGAGAAACATCGATATGAGAGAGACACACCAATTGGTTGCCTCCCACACTCGCCTGAGGCATGTGCCCTTGACCAGAATTGAACCCAGGACCCTCCAGTCCACAGGCCACTATCCACTGAGCCAAACTGGCCAGGGATCCTTTGTTTTTATTACTTCCACCTCACTTGGATTGACCAAAACAACCTTTATGCTGAATGCCTATGTAGATAGACAACAATGTTTCCCAATGTATGGAATGTGTTCCACAGTGGTACATGACACTATTAGTTGGTTTATAATCATTTTCATTTTAATCTGTATATATTTTAATGATTTTAAAAACAACTAGAATAGACTAGTGATATGAAGTGTCTGTTAAATAAACTTAAATCTTAAAATTTTAAAGAAAAAAAACAGGATCCCTTAGAAAAATGATCTAGGACAGCGGTTCTCAACCTGTGGGTCACGATCCCTTTGGGGGTCGAACGACTCTTTCACAGGGGTTGCCTAAGACCATCAGAAAACACATATATAATTACATATTGTTTTTGTGATTAATCACTATGCTTTAATTATGTTCAATTTGTAAATGAAATTGGGGGTCACCACAACATGAGGAACTGTATTAAAGGGTCGCGACATTAGGAAGGTTGAGAACCACTGGTCTAGGACAGTGATGGTGAACCGATGACACGCGTGTCAGAGTTGACATGTGAACTCATTTTTTTGGTTGATTTTTCTTTGTTAAATGGCATTTAAATATATAAAATAAATATCAAAAATATAAGTCTTTGTTTTACTATGGTTGCAAATATCAAAAAATTTCTATATGTGACACGGCACCAGAGTTAAGTTAGGGTTTTTCAAAATGCTGACATGCCGAGCTCAAATGGTTCGCCATCACTGGTCTAGGACAAGAAAAGGAAAAGGTGACAGACAGAAACAAGGTACTCAAACTAACAGGATCACGTCGAAAGGACAAAAGAAACCAGCTTAAGGAGGCTCCTTCTGGCCATGTTTGGGATAAACCAAGCATCAAAAAGAATGACGGGAGCCCTGGCCCCGGCCGGTGGCTCAGTTGGTTGAAGCATCATCTCATACACCAACAGGTTGTGGTTCGATTTCTGGTCAGAACACACACCTACATTGCAAATTTGATCTCCAGTTTGGGTGCATACAGGAGGCAAATGATTGATGTTTCTCTTTCGCATCAATGTTTCTCTCTCTCTCTCTTCCTCTCTCTAAAATCAATAAATATAACCTCAGCTGAGGATTAAAAAAAAAAATGATGGATGTGTTGGCTTTGTGAAAAATCACTGAGCTATATATTTATGATTTGTGCATTTCTCTGTATATATTTCAATAAATTAATTTATACTAAAAAATAAACCTCTGTAATAAAAAAGTGACAGGGCTAGATCCCAATATTAATTTTTTAAATAAATATTTGTTATCTTTTAAAAAAATATGTTTTTATTGATTTCAGAGAAGAAGGGAGAGATAGAAACATCAATGATGAAAGAGAATCATTGATAGGCTGCCCCCTGCATGCCCCCAACTGGGGATCTAGCCAGCAACCAGAATATGTGCCCTGACCAGGGATCAAACCTTGACCTCCTGGTCCATAGGTGAACACTCAACCACTGAGCCACACCAGCCGGGACCAACAGTAATTTTTTTAAAAATCCGTAAGTCTATAGTGATACAAGAGAGACAGAGATAAAAAGGATGAAAGGGAATAAAGATAGCCTGGCTGGTGTTACTCAGTGGTTAAGCATTGACCTATGAACCAGGAGGTCACAGTTCGATTCCTGGTCAGGGCACATGCCTAGGTTGTGGGCTCAATTCCCAGTGTGGGGTGTGCATGAGGCAGCCAATCAATGATTCTCTCTCACCACTGATGCTTCTATCTCTCTCTCCTCCCTTCCTCTCTGAAATCAATAAAAACATATTTTTAAAAAAGGGAATGAACATAAAAAGGGAAGGTTCTTCTTTCAGAATACCAGTAATAAATGTAAAAGCAATAGTAGAATCACCATTTTGCAACCTCCATATAATAATTGGTTCAGACAGGAATCAATAATGTAGACTAAAAGAACTGAATAAAAATGAGGGGGTGCACCTTATGTTCATAGCAGCACAATTCACCATAGCTAAGATTTGGAAACAGCCCAAGTGCCCATCAGTAGATGAATGGATTAGAAAACTGTGGTACATCTACACAATGGAATACTATGCTGCGGTAAAAAAAAAAAGGAACTCTTGCCTTTTGCAACAACATGGATGGAACTGGAGAGCATTATGCTAAGTGAAATAAGCCAGTCAGAGAAAGATAAATAGCACATGATCTCACTCATTTGTGGATTATAGAGAACAACATAGACTGATAAACAGGGACAGATCCAAAGACAGAGAAACAGCGATCAGACTATCACTCCCCAGAGGGAAAGTAGGGGAGGGAGGGGGTAAGGGGAAGAGATCAACCAAAGGTCTTGTATACATGTATATAAGCCAAACCAATGGACATGGACAACAGGGGGATGGGAGCATTCTGTGTGGGGTAGAGGGGGGGAGGTTGGGGGGTAAATGGGGGGGATGAGGAACACATTTGTAATACCTTAACTAATAAAAAAAAAAATTTTTTTTAAATGAGGGGGTGCAGTATATTACTACTATCTAAAAGCATGAACTCCAAATTTACATGGTTAATTACAAAGAGAAGAAAAACTTTACAATGGAGAAATCACATGGTCAAACCTATCAGTACCAATAATGGGACAATCTGACATTATGTGCCTCCTGATGAAATAGAGGTAAACAACAAGAGGTACACAAATCACTCATGCAACATTTCTGCAAAAAACGTGTAACGGATCTCTCATGAGGTGGCAAAAGAAAAATCTGGAATTGGGACATTCTACAAGACAATGTCATACACAACTTCACCACCAAAAATGGTGGGAAGCTCTCCTAAATTATGAGACTAAAGAGACATCATAGCCAAACGCAATGGAAAACTCAAAGGATCAAATAAGGTAGCAAAACATGTTGAGGACAATTAGGGAAATTTGAATAAAAACCACATATTAGATGATACTATCAATGTAGTGCTAATTTTCTCGGCATAATTGTGGCGAGGTAAAAAAATGTTCTTATTTTTAGGAGATAACTGCTGACATATTTAGGGATAATATGTCATGATATCTGCTTCTAACTTTTTTTAAAATATTTTTTTATTTTTTTTTAAACCTATTTCTATTGATTTCAGAAAGGAAGGGAGAGGGAGAGATAGATAGAAACATCAATGATGAGAGAGAATCATTGATTGGCTGTCTCCTGCAAGCTCCAACCGGGGATCGAACCTGAAACCTTGATACATGCCCTGATCAGGAATCAACTGAGTACCTTGTTGTTGTTGTTAATCCCTCACTCAAGGATATTTTTTCCATTGATTTTTTAGAGACAGAGGAAGGGAGGGAAAAGAAGTGGGGGGGGGGGGAGAGAAAGAGAGAGAGAGAGCGAGATCAATGTGAGAGAGACACATAGATTGTTTGCCTCACGCATGTGCCTGACTGGGACGGGGATTGAACCTGCAACCCAGGTACGCGCCTTTGAACAGGAATTGAACCCTCAACTCTTCAGTGGGCAGGCTGACACTCTAACTCTTCAGTGGGCAGGCTGACACTCTAACTACTGAGCAACATTGGCCAGGACTCGTACCCAGGGCTCAAACCTGGCACCTTTTGATATGCTCCAATCAACTAAGCCATATAGGCCAGTGAGGGCTCTTTCAATTTTTCTGAATATTTAAAAAATTTCAAAGTTTAGAAAGTTTTTGAGAATACTATTACTAAATAAATCGTGGTACAGTTGGTACATATGTCTAGAGGGTGGGACTCATGACTGATTAAAACGTAGAAAACGCCCTGACCGGTTTGGCTCAGTGGATAGAGCGTCGGGCTGCGGACTCGGGGGTCCCAGGTTCGATCCCGGTCAAGGGCATGTGCCTTGGTTGTGGGCACATCCCCAGTGGAGAGTGTGCAGGAGGCAGCTGATCGATGTTTCTCTCCCATCGATGTTTCTAACTCTCTGCTGTCCCTCTCCCTTCCTCTCTATAAAAAATCAATAAAATATATATTTTTTTAAAAAACGTAGAAAACACTAACAGAACGCTGCTGTGTAAGGTATTACATGCTGTGTTTCATTTAAGCCTCACACACCCTGTTGTGACAGGCAGGACTCCCCTATCAGACAGAC